CTTATTTATTGAAAAATATTACAATCTGTCTCTAGGACATTTATAATAGAGTTCACAGATCACATTCACACTCTATGTACAATAAATAAAATAAATTATACAGAAACATAATATATATACAATAAATAAGTATAAAATAACCTAAAAATATATAAATAAAAAGAACACATACACACCTATATACAATATTTACAATTTGGCGAGAGGACCCAAAACCAGACTTGTCCCTCCAACTGTGGAGGAAAAAGTATGACTCCAGGAGTTCCCTGCACTCCTCTCTCAACCGAAACGTATTATTAGATAAGCCACTAGTTTGAAAACGGCTCGTTCAATCTGATTTAAACTTGGAGGAAATTTGGAGAACAGTTCATATATTGTCTAGTACCAATTTCATTTAATTCCGTTAAGTAATTAAAATTAATATAAATAACTATTGATGATATAATGGCTGTGAAATGTGGGAGGCATTGATCACGTGAAATAGGAGTTAGGTTTATACAGTCAAATGTTACTGGCATGACACTTACTACCTTCGCTTAGATTTCATGTAATTTTCAGTTAATTTTAATTAATTTTTATTTTATTTAGTTAGTAAAAATAAAATTGATTTGTAATTTTGTTTGCTTCTATCGAAATTCAACTAGCTCGTCGTCGTCTTGATTTCCTCCTTAGTCATCAAAGTTATGTGAACTTCAATCGTATTTTTATATTCCAGCTTAAATTAGTATGTTCTGACTGAGGGAAACTATTGGTCACGTTAACTACGAACAAACTAAAAGTTAAATTTTTCCAATGAATTTTTTGTTCGATCTATTTTATAAGTGAAAACATACCTATAAATATATATCGCTACTGTTAGTGTAAAAGGTCGTATGTAACAATTTTTCATTTTTATTCTATCGGTGCTAAAGGACATTTCGTAGTTTGCAACTAATATAGCTAGCCTGCAACTATAGAAAATAGTAGAGGAAAATAAAATATAAAATTACTGAATAATTTATTATTGAAATCATAAAGAAATAATTAGTTTGTATGCTCTCCTATAAAACACTAAACAATTTTTACATACGACTTATTGCACGAACAGTAGCGATTTACATCTTCAGTATGCACTGGGATTTTTTTAAAAATTACGATTCGTCAAATACGCGATTTGCAAATTTAGAATTCTTCCGCATTTTAGTATTCGCTGATGAACAAAATTGGTGGATATCAAACCCGCGAATGTTAAGGAATTACTGTATTTCCGAAAATGGCTTCTCCCGGAGATTTTATTCTCCTACGAAAAATTATAGGCTTTGAAATATAGATATTGTTCAGCCAATGAAAACTGATGAATCTATACAGGCCTTACTTGGTAGACGTTTTTTTATTGCTTTTTTCTTACATTTAATTACCAAAATATAATATATGTAAGGTCGCATCCCACGTTTCGACGGAAATAAACGTTTTTTATATATTGTACACCTCTTAATGATGTCGATCAAACTTATCCTCAAATCCTTAGTCTTATAGGTCCTTAAAGCCAAATAACCATTTTCCCCCTATTCTAAAGCATCATTAATTTTGTTTATTTGAGATACTTAACCATCTCACATTGTTACTAGTAATAAAAATTGGATTAATTTAAAAAAATCATTTTATCTCTCAAACGTAATCCTTACTTGGGCCTAGATCGAAGGAAGACATAATTTTATTTTATTTCAATTTTTTTCGAGCTAATTAAACAATAAAGAAATGACCCTTTTCAGGTCAAAAGTATGTTTGAAAAGTTTTTTAAATATCCAATCCTTTTTTGAAGTTATTCATATTGATTGGTTGTACCAGATCCAATTAGATACGTCAATTAGAATTTTTTAAACTTTTATTAGGATTTATTACCTGCCAAAAATAGAAAAAATATTAAAATTGAGAAAAAGTTAGTTTTGTTTTTCTTTTGTTGATTGCAATAACGAACATTCGATATCGAAAAAAAAAAAAAAAAGTTTTGCTTTTGAAGCTTTTACACATAACGATTCTCGAAATGGGCACTGATATGTACTTATATTGTAGCAACCTTTTATTTCCCAGAATTTTCTTTTGAAACAACACAAATAAATAGCAACTATTTAATAGAATAAATATAAAAATGAAAACAATTGTTTACAATGTTCTATTGTTTTCCCAGTAATCACTAACGGATCCAGGATTTAATTTTTTTTTTGGGGGTAGGGCTTCAGCCCGAAAGCTTTTTTTTCATATGTATAACGATCATTAATTTGGAAAAAAAAAATAAACTAACTACCTATATGACGTGGTGTTTAAACGATTCTTGAAGTCCTATTAAATGTAATTACACGAACAATAATACTTTAAGAGATAGTTTTTTTCTTATATTTATATTTATATGGTTATATTTCACCATTTTGGGGAAAAACCACCCCCCGTAGATCCGCCAGTGCCTATAATGGGTTAATTCTATTCTTTTCATTGGTTTTAATTGTAACGCATTTACTACAGCTAATGAATGTAAGCACTGTTAAGAAAAAGTATAAAAATTGTATCCCTAAAAGGATTATTTTTCTTGTAATTACATTACAAAAAAAAAAAATTAAAATCAGCCTTTTAATTAGAGTTTCAGTTCTAACAATGGAAACAAACCCCGTTCCCACAATATTGTTTGTTGTTAACCCGAACTAATCAGCGATGGGAGATGTTTCAATTGGGATTATCACCCCTCCATTGGAATTCGGCGGACTTTGTAACGTGTAACGATTATTTTTTTGTTTTCATCAGTGCCACTATCACTGTTCCATTCAACGAAATTGTATTAACTATTACCAGTTCTGATTTGATAGAATAACATTGATAATTAAGTAACTAGTCCGCGAGTGATTTATATATATATTCCTTAGGAATTAGCAGCGAAAGCATATCAACTAATAACAAACTGGGCAGATAAAACTTGACAGAAAAAAAATTGAAGATATGGACGAAAGTAGCGTAGGTTGTTTTATTTGTTCCTACTTTTTCGAATTTTTTTAATTTTATTCAAAGATATTTAAGTTTGAAAATGTTTTTTATGAATTTAAATATATGTCTATCAATAACAGAAATGACGAATAAATTGTATTTATAATAAGTTATTGTAAACGTTAGGAACTAGTTCCGTTTCGCAAATTCCAAGATAACCACCGGTTTCAAGATAACAGAGCACTCTACTGGATTCCCGAAAATACCCGAATGTATCCGAAAAAAATACGGTGCCGAACGATTCACAGCTTAATAGTACCCGCCAAATTAAGAGGGAAATATTAACTAAATTATAAAGTCCATCATAATAGTTGAAATATTGAAATAAATATAACATGTAGAGATTCTACGTAGAATGACAATAATAAGAATTTATGAATTTTCGCAGCGATCAATTTTTTCTTTTTCTTATCATATTTTACTACTTTGTGTATTTTTTTGTATATATGTTTTATTAATATACTTATTTTATCCGTTCTGCATTTTCCGCATCAATCAGAAGGAGAATTTCAATTTAATTTTAATAGGCTTATTTTAATTATGTATTTTTTTTATCTATGTATTTTTAACATGTTTTATTATATGTATTATCCCGTATCTATTATTACGGGATAGGAATTTCAATTTAATTTTAATTACGTTTTTAGATTTTTTTTGTTTGAGGCAAACATGCTATTTCAACTTATTTTTTAGTAGAAGACATTTTCCCAATAACGAGTTTTATAATTTTACAAATATACCTGTTAGAAAAGCGGGGATATAACCTCAGCTAACGTATAAGTTGAGGTAGCTATGTCTTATATCTTAATGGGATTGCCAATATTCTTCTACTTTCGGTATTCATCGAGAATCTGGGAATTGCGTGCTCAGTGTGATCTTGAAACTGACCGCCATTTTTGAATAGCGAAACGGGACAAGTACTAAACTTCGTAAATGCACGGTATATTTATTAGTACGTTATTATACATACTTTTGTATTATTAATATTTATTGAATGAGCAATTGCTACCAAAACTAATTCAGTAAGAGCCTCATACATATAAATTTTGATCAATTAATGTTTATATCTAGAATTTTACTTATTTACACGCGGATGCTTAAATATTTAGCTGTGATCATTATCAGAAACCAATATGGACCAATGAAAGAAAAATTCTATTTCGGGGAATTTTGGCTTCACCCCTTCCGCCAATGAAATGGGGGTTGGGGATAGCGCCCCACATACTTGACATTAGCGGATACAGGATTTAATTTAGGGGGGGGCGCATCAGCCAGAAAGCTTATATATATATATATATATATATATATATATATATATATATATATATATATATAAATATATATATATAGTTTTCTTTTGGTTATGTTTGTAGGGGTCATCTAATCTCATTTTTTCAATTATCTATCACCGACGGCGGGCGCGTTTCATCAGTAACACGACACGCCCGGGTAAACAGTAACAACCCCCCACTCTCTCTCATTCACTATCAAGAAGCTGGAGATCGAGGTGCTCGTTTCATTGCCCCTGAGCAGACATGCATAGCATTCGCTGTTTAAGTAAGAGATCAACGGTCAAAATAACTGGACGCAGGGGCAGCATTTCTATTCTGGATGAGAGACATCGAAGCGGGACTTGAGGAAACTGATAGCAGCGTGTCTTTTCCAGAACACTGTTTAGTTTTTTTTATCGTTTACAACATGAGAACAACCCACCTTTTTCATTCTTTTTTTTTTCATTTATTTTATTCATACTAACACACTAACGATAAATGCCCCTTCAGGGGATATCAGCTTAATAAAAATAAATATTGCTAACGAGATAAATTGTCTCACATTCATTATTTTCCTCACCGATATTTAAACGAATTTATTCCACCATACAAGAAAAGGGCCCCCGATCTTAAGCATCGGGCCTTCACCTATTGTACTGTTATAACAATATTTCATATGACAATAAGATTTTTACACGTATGAAATTTTTTTTTCAGGTGAAGAGGAGATGTGTATCGGAACGCCAGATCCCCTTCAGTTAAGCAACGTTTCTGGAATAATGTTGACACAGATCTGCGCTATTTGTGGTGATAGAGCAACTGGAAAACACTACGGTGCCTCGTCATGCGACGGTTGCAAAGGATTCTTCAGGAGATCTGTGAGAAAAAATCACTTGTACACGTGCAGGTCAGTTTTTACATTAGGATAATCTTAAGCCATTCGGTGCGTTAGGTTTTCTAGTGGCCTTCAGGGTAGGAAACGAAAATTATGGTTCTCCACTAAGAACTAGGCAGGAACTGAGCAAAAAAAAGAAACAGACCTTCTTTGGGTAGTGAAGTATTGTTTCATTTTTGGTTTATTATTTTCAATAATGAACCTTTGTATTTTAATTGGAATCTGAGAGTCTTATCAACTAAGACCGGTCTGCACAATGTTGAGTTGTCATCTCTTCATTAAAAATCAAATGAGGCCGTATTAAAAATCGAATGAAAAGTATTAAAAAATTAAATTAAAAATTCGTTAACAGATAAATGTAAACACGTTGGAATCCCGTGTATGTAAATATTTTTACTGTAGAAGAATTACTTTAACATTAGGGATTAGGGATTATTAGTATGATTTACTATTTTAAACCTATTTAACTTATTTGTTTTTGGTCTTTTTTTTTTTTTTTTTTTGACCTGAGATGGGAAAAGCGACATGATTTAAGAGTTCCAGGGGACCAAGCCATTCTTGTAAATAATTTAATAATAATAAGCCAACTTCAATGAACAAATACATACTACACAATAATATTTTATATCGGGATATAAACGAAATTCTACTATACCAAATTAACAAAAGTACGTGTTCTGGGATTCAATGGGCTTTGAAATGCATGGGTCCGTTTAAAAAAGAAACAAATAAGACCGGATTTTACTCTCAAATCACTACTTACTTACACCTTCGATTTACCCGACATTTCCCTTGCCTTGGTGACATCGCTTGCTACATCCGTTGGTCCAAATTGATCCATACTATAGCTATCTGCCAACTATGATATTTTTCTAACCCTGCTTGGTATGGTATCTAGGATAAAGATTTTTTTTAGGGAGAAACAAAGTTGATATTCATTTTTCGTACTTCGAAAAACCCATACATACGAATTTTTATAGCAATCGTAATATTAAAAAAAAAAAAATGTGCACGAAATTTTAGTCTATGCTTGATAACCCTTAGAAATTTTGTCAACCGAAAAAAATGTGATAAATTCAGTATGAATCCATCCAAAAAATATTTAGCGCTCTATATTCTAGACGCTTTGGAACCCCTTAAACAAATCAGAACAAAGATATAAAATAAAAATATCTTAAGCTTTAATGTCTTTCCAACCGTTCTACTAACGTTGAATTTGACAATATCCATCATCAAAATAGATTGAGAAGTTATTAATGCTTTAATAGCGGCCGGAAAAAAATCTTCCAAGAAAATCAAGCACTAATATTTGCATTTTTTATTAAACGACGTTAAATACGAATATAACTTGCTTTTTCAGAATAAAAATTTACTTAACCTGTTTTACTGGAAGCGTCTTGCGTTTTTTTTTAATTTATGGTACACTATGACTCTTTTATACCACAATCAATTTTTTTTTCTGCAAAAAAAAGAAATCGATCGGTATATAACCTAAAAATTCACGTAGAGCAAAGGCAAAATAAATAATATAAATTTTTAATTGTGGATAGATGGTTGACTGTAGTGAATAATTGAAGAGAAGAATGGTTGGGATGAGCAGTAAAAAAAAAATAGTAAAAATAAATAAGTATACTTTTGGCCCAAAGTCCAGACCTTCATCAGGGCTAAGAGAAAACCAAATAGCAATAGATATGAGAAACTATAAACATTAAATAATAAAAAATAATAATATGTAGGTGAAAGGTATAGTCTAAAAAAAATGTAGGAAGAATAAACTTAAAGCAAAATAAAGTGGATGGAATAACAGTAACATAGAACTGGGAAATAAATAATAATGGAAAAGTAGTGACTAATGAAACAAACATAATCATAAAAAGGTAAAATAAGAAATAAAAAATGAATTAATAACGAAAAGTATTGGAATTTATGAAATAAAAAACGTAAATGTAGACAAAATATAAATGAGACGACATAGTCGCTAAAATATGATGTAATAGTATGGTAAAAGGAAGTGAGATAATCATAGAAAGAAATGTAAAACAAAAAAAAAGTAAAATGAAATTATACAAGGAAATAATAGATGTAAATAGAAAATTGAGATACTTCAAATATATCAAAACATACCAACTACTTATAAGTGAATAAAAAGTTAAATTAATGTAAATAAGATATAATGGACAAATGTATCAATATTCACAAAATAGAGATGGACTATTGTTGTCTGGTTTTCTCTTAGCCTTGATGAAGGCCTGAACTTTTGGCCGAAACGTCGGAAAAAATCAAAATAAGTATACTTATTTAGTTTTACTATTTATTTTTTTTACTGGTCACTCCAACCATTCTTCTCTTCTAATATAAATATTGTGGAACAATATATATACACACAAGTTAAAAGATTTGGTGATCCCTGACTAAACGTAATTGTTTTATTTTCTGCCATGAAATGGGATGGATACCTTTGTTTATTGGTTGGAGGGCTGAAGGACGAAAAAAAACTCATATTCATTGATGTTTTTGTAAAATAAAAAAAAAATATGACACACATTTTCACTTCCTTAGTACCAGGAGAGAGGAATGTCTGGTAAAATCGGAAGTGTGTCAAGTAAAGTAAAGTTAGGTAAAGGGAAGTGTAAGAATCTTCTTTTTTTCAAGAGTTCAAATTTTTCGATGTGCAGGTTTAATATAATTTAAAAAATCAGTTATTTCATTGTTAAATAAGTTTTACATTGAAATTAATATTGTAAATAATTAATTATTATTCAATTTCCTCCAGTTTGAGCATGCATGAGGGATTTAAAATAAGTATGGTGTGCAGGTAATGTAATAAATCGCACAACAAAATGAAAAAAAAAACAAAAACAAGAAACAATGAAATTCTTTCTCTGAACAGCTGTTCTGTTGTCTCTTCGGATATTTCAATATATTTAATATTCTTATAATTTTTTTTTAATTCAAGTTTTTAGTCCCCTCGCCTGTTAGTTAATACTGTATATAGGTATATCCGTTTTTATCTTTATATATATATATATATATATATATATATATATATATATATATATATATATCTTATCTTTAAATTATTTTATTTTTATTTATTGTATATACTTTTTGATTATTATTTACTTGTTATTTTGCTCCTGTTTATTTTATATTTTCTTTATATACAGTGTGAATGTAGTCTTACCTCACTATAACCATTGTCCATTTGATAGAATGTTATATTACTCAATAGAATAAAAATTGTTATAAACAAATTGTAGAACATTATGAGGGCATATTCGGATATCCCGTATTGAAATTGAAATTAAATTGTTTATAACAAATTTATTGCACATTGATAATGTAACCGCTACTTCGATAATTGAACATAAAGCTATGAAATTTTATTCCATAACATTTTCTTTATCCATTTAAACTCAGAAAAAATGGGACTTGTTGTTTTTAAATCGTGGTCCCTTCTCTTCTTCAACTATATACTATTTTTATAATTTTGTTGTACATCGGATTTCAACTCAAACATCATTATCGAATCGTAATTTTATAAATAATACTTAGATTGCGAAAATTAATACTATATCAAGATGTGTGTTGGTGTAAGTACGTTTGGTAAATCAGTAAGATTCGGCTATCTCTTAGTGACTTCCACAGACGGATTTACGGGGGAGGGGACTTTCGGGCTGAAGCCCCCCCCCCTCCCCCCAAACGGTAAAATATAACCATGTTTTATAGAAAAAAAATATAAAAATATATCTCTTATAATATTATTGTTAGTGTAATTACATTTAATAGGACTTCAAGAATCACTTAAACACCATTTCATATAGGTAGTTCATTTCTTTCTTCTTTTTTTTTCAAATTAGTTATCGTTATATGTAAGGAAAAAAATCTTTCGGGCTGAAGCCCCCCAAAATTAAATCCTGGGTCCGCTATTCGTGACTTCCAATTTTTCTGTTTGCTCAATTTCGTGAGGTCAATTTCCCAGCCGTCATATCTCTTTTTTTTATGCCGTAATAGTGCATCAGTAATATTTATCGGAGCGAAAGGTAAAACTACAGTAAACAACTATTTAAAGTTAAATACATGCTTATGGTAATGTTTCATGTATATCACGATAAAGTTTGAGTGAACCGATGATTTAATGAAAAAGCATAAATGCTTCCGGTCACAATTTTTAAATTAATAATCAGAAAAGGAGATTGTCTGCAAGTAATAAGATACGATTTATTTATCTTCAAGTTCTAGGATTAGAAGAGGTACATACCAGACTTGAGCAATATTTCAAATAAAATATTTTAATACATTTTTATTATTTTATATTTTAAGAAGTCAAATATAAAATACATTGTTTGTAACTGTATTTTATTTTTAAAATACAAAATACAATGGAATATGTTTTTATTTTGTTTCAAAAATACAAAATACATAAAATGTTTTTTTTATTTTGTATTTTAAATGCATACAACAACCAAGCCCACAAACTTCCGCTAATACAACTCAGTGGTGAATCAAGGCCTCCCTCAACATCAACCTCCAATCTACTCGGTTCCCTGCCACTGCCCTCCAGTTTCTTGCGCCTAAGATGGACGATGCATCCTCCGCCATTCCATCGGTCCACCGCATTCTTGTCCTGCCAATTCTCCTCTTACCGTACAGCCTTTCTTCCAGAAGTCTCTTTGGGATCTCATTGTCCTCCATTCGAGCAGCATGGCCTGCTATTTTAACGTTTGTTCTATGTCGCCAATTATTATCGCTGATCACTGGCTCATTCACTCCAAAAGACAAAAGATTAACTCCTCTCTCGAATCTTATTATTAAGTATTCTTGTGCTCGGAAGATCGTCCAAATTTCTGATGCATAGGTCAGCACAGGCCTTATGAAGCTGCACTTTGGTGTTCTGTGAGAGGCATCTACTTCTGAAATGTTTTAAGAGCCCGAAATAGCATATGTTTGCCGCCATTAAGTGGTTAAGAATAGGGTTTTTAATGAAATTTACAACTGCATAAAATCAAATATATATCTAGTAAATGTGATTAATAGTAATACAATGACGTGAGAACACTTGCAGAGAAACCACCGATTGGTAGCACTCTAAGACAATTTTTAAATTAGGAGATCAGGTGGCCGTCTTTTTTTCAGAGGTCTCGGTGTGTTACCAGGGATCGCAGTTGAAGCAAGGTTAGAAACGGGAGAATTCGGGTGGTTATGAAGTTTATTATGGAAGGATAGGTTTCTGGATTGGGCCAAATCGGAAACATATGGAACATTAAGGTCTTTATGGATTATTTTATTTGTGGCAAAGATCAAAGACCTCATCAACAATGTGGATTTTACGAAGGATTTTGGATTGTAAGGATTGGGTATTTTGTATTTAAAATACAGATACCCACGTCTTCAGCCTGAAAGCCCCCTCCCCATTGTACCCTGGTGTCTCGTTACGGTATTGAGCTCCTGTAACCTCCTAATACAAAATAAAGATTTTATACAAAAAAATTATCCGAACTATGGATTCGTTCAGTTTATTTTATGTTGATAAAAAATAATACAATCTGAAATACAGATTACATGTAAATTATAGTTATACAATTTGAGGAACGAGTAGTTCAACTAAATGAAAAGTTGTATAATGTGTCAAATGGGTTTTGGTCAGCCGTCAGGCGGACAAGGGGTCCTCCAGTATTTAAAAAAAAATATAGAATAAATGTAAATTATAAATATAAGCTGTATTCACACAAATTACTCTTTTATTTTAATTATTAATTATATATGTATTTTTAGATTTAATCGAAACTGCATTGTAGACAAAGATAAACGTAATCAATGTCGCTACTGCCGCTTGAGGAAATGTTTCAAAGCCGGAATGAAAAAAGAAGGTATGCTTTGTACACATTATCAACTATATAGGTAATTATAATAATATAAGTATGAAAATGTGCAATTCGATTAATTGCCGTTGATCAACAGCTGTGCAAAACGAAAGAGATAGAATAAGCTGCAGAAGGCCAAGCTATGAAGAGCACTCCCTAACAAACGGACTCTCTGTCTCATCTTTACTCAACGCAGAAATGCTATCCAGGCAGGCAGGTGGATCCCTAGAGGTAACATTGTCAGCATAACTTTTTTTCATTACATGATATTTTGAATACATACAATATTTTTTTTTTATTTTTATATTTCTGTGACAAAACTACTTAGCTCGCGCCTCTTGTCCCGGAACTTAAAAATTAGAATCTATAAACCATTGTCTTACCTACAGTTGTTTATGGATGCGAAACGAGGCCGCTTACATTAAGGGATGAGCAACGTCTTAAGGCTTTTGAAAATAAAGTATTGCGTAGAATATTCGGACCGAAGAAGGATGAGTTAACCGGAGAGTTCAGACGGTTACACAACGAGTTGCGTGAACTGTATCCGGTTAATATAATTGAAGTGATTACATCACGTAGAATCAAATGGGCTTGGTAACGAAAGAATTCCTAAAAGGTTAATATTTGCTGTGCCGGTAAACGTCCAAGGGGAAGACCGAGGCGAAGGTGGGAATATTGCGTGAAAGCCGATCTGAAGGAACTGGGTTTGGACGGCGAACGGTGGAGGGAGGTGTGTAATAAGCGATTGGTGGTGTTGGCATCGAACCTTCGGGTTCGCTAATTCTTTTATTATTATTGCAATTTTTTAAAGATAGCAAATTTCAATATAATCTTGAAATAATAATAACATAAGTAAACATTAACCTAAATCAAAACCTGCCTTATCACGACTGTTAGACTTATAATTGACCAAATTTCAGCTCTTAAGCATGTTGAAAAAGGTACAAAATTATATCGTTCAGTCAAGTGGGATGATTAATAATCAAAATAGTTGTGTTACTAAATCAATTGCCTTATAATATTTATTTAATAATGTCTATTACAAATTCAACCATAGTCCGCTTTACATTGAGACTCATCTAAAACTTCGTGGGTGACTTCATTTTACCGTACAAATTTTTTATCCATGAACATTCTCAGAAATGGGGCGTTTTAATCTGAAAACAGGCACTAAAAACTTACGAACACTCATATTTTTTCGACATAAATCGTAAGATTATTTGATCGCAAAAATGAGAAACTAGACGCCCTACAAAAATATTGGGCCGTTTAACCAGTATAACCTCGTTATTTTGACATGTTGGGGTGGAGGTCACGCCAAATGGCCGAATATTTTTATATCAATTGCCAGCGTAGTTTTGTACGATAATAATTTGACAGTTTTGGCTTTAACTAACTGTTTTAGCTTACCATTAAATTTCGCAAGTAATATTTGTTAAAAGGACCAAATGATATCATTATTAAATGATATCATGTGACAATCTTTAATTACCTCAAAAATGTTATTTCGAGCTCACACCGCTTATTATTTCTGTAAGTGGTTTGAAAATATATATTTATTTACTAATGTTTTTAGAGAAACCAAGAATTTGACCTATCAAATAAGCAAGTGGCAACGATTGCTGATGTTTGCGACTCGATGAAACAACAATTACTGTACCTTGTGGAATGGGCTAAATACATCCCTGCTTTTACAGAACTTGCACTCGACGATCAGGTATTGGATTTGTTATTACTATTTTTTTTTTTTTTAAATCATTCACTCATTATTTTTTAGAAACCTAATCTTTTTTTTAATTCTCACTATTAATAATTGAGTATTTCTTTTAGGTTGCCCTCCTGCGTGCACATGCTGGGGAACATTTGCTTCTTGGTCTTGCCAGGAGATCGCTACATCTTACCGATGTTCTATTGCTGGGTAACAACTGCATTATCCCGAGATATTGTGGAGGTAAGCTGAGCAATTGAATTCAAATAATTTGTGATAGCCAATAAGTAGATACTATCCAATATTTTCATTTTAGATTTTAATTATGTATCATACTATTAATATTGACTTACAAATAATATATATATACACGGTACTTGAGGCTCAGTAACATTTGGAAAGATAAAAAGGTATCCAACACATACCTAAAACAATGAATATAAGAACAATGAAAATGACAACAAAGTTTTTATATGATGAGTTCTTTTCCACTAGAAACGAAGTAAATTTTAAAACATGATAGACTTGAAAATGGCTCAATGAGCCGAAATTTTTTCATAATCCAGTAAAGGATTGAAAATAAAAATAATGTTGGTGTTTAAATGGCTTTTTAATTAACCACTAAAATGGGCACTTTTTTTTCCCATCGGTCCATAATTGTATCTGAGTTATCTTGGTGGCTAAATACTTAAACAATCAGAATATTTTTGTAAATGATTACGAATTAAAAATTCTAAATATAGGTACATGTTATGAAAAAAATTATCCCTAAAAGCATTTTTGTTCGTTTAATGACGTTGTTTTTGTTTTTTAATAGGCCTCAAGGCCCACTTAAAAACTTTTTTATATACATTTTTTTTTTTCAATTTAATTTAATATGTTCTCTTTTTGAATTATAATGCATAAGCAGTAACTAAATGTAAGCACATGTTAAGAAAATATATATAAAAAATGTATCCCTAAATTCTGTAATTACATTGTTTATTATTATAAAAACAAAAAAGTTGCATCACCACAATTAAATCTTGAATGCGCTGCTGTCCAGCACCCACATTACCTATCACTCGTGCTCTCCATAAGTACTACGCATAAGTGTATTTATATATCTATCTATCTATATATAAAGGAATTTGTATAAAAACAAGGCAGCCCTAGTGCATAAGCCTGTAAGAAAAAGCCGGTTTTCAGTTTTTCTGTTCGATCTTGATCCACGGAATTATTTAGAAATACTGACTATTCATTCATAACTTAGAAAATTCAGTTTTTTTTTCCCGTCTAATAAATATGTTTAGTTTTTTTACATAGTTTTTGGAGCGTGGCTCTTGATACATAATAAAAAGTATATATCAAAAGAAATTCTGTTTCAATGCGTGCGTTATCAAACATTGCATAAATTGAACATTTTATGCAACGGAACCGATTTTTGATTTCACTTTCTCCTCATTATTATTAATTGAGTTATTTAATATATTGGCAACATAAATATACATTCGAGGTTAATAATTGTATTCTTGCAAGATTTCCAGAGCTCCCATTTTCAAAATTTAATTAATATATTGAAGGATGGGAAACTCTTCTTCATCATGACTCAAAATTAAAACTCTTAAAAGATCCTCTAAAACTCTAAAAAATAAATTTCTAATCATCGAGGTTTTAAAATTAAATAAAATTCATTATAAATCGAATTGATGATGAAATTTAAATTATTTTAAATAAAATTTCGAGGTTAATTTTGAAATTTTTACGCTTATTAATAATGAACAAGGTCAGTGAAGATTATAAAGTGCATAATTTTTTTAATAACCTGTACCAATGCAACCCATGAAGGGTCTTGGGTTCCGTACTACTTAGGGAAAGTACTGTAAGATTTCTGTAAGAAACGCGTTAGCCTCTAATTAACCTATCTTGATATTTTACCAGTAATAATTGCGTTTCAAGGACAAAAACAAAATCGCATATGCTGCATCCTTTTTTCCATGCTTAAAGTCGGTTTCATAAGGAGTCGTCAACTGGTCGAGAGTACTACTTGTAGCATGCTGTATGACATTTTTTCGACAAACCAGCTTACTACCAAATCCACTCCAGCTCATATGACTGCTCTTGTTTGTCATTAGTTTCTAGCCTGTTATTCCATTATGATAGCATCTGAAGCTACAACCGTCTCTATAACTTTTAAGAGAACATTTAATTTCTAACAAGAAATGGAAGGGAATTATCCTTCATATCAAAACAGTTTAGAAAGTAGCCAATTCTGTTCGGGTTTTCACTCGATAAATAAAGGTTGATAGTAACAATTCAGAAACAAGACACTTTTTTATCTCCTCCTCCTCACCTTTTAGGCTTAGGAGACCAGATTGGGCAGCACTTATCAATCATACCTAGTTTGCAAATACTAGGCTTTAATGGTAATCTATGATTATTATCAATAATGATAATATATTGATCACTGATTATTCCTAAAATCCAATTGTCCTACTCGGAAATTCTCCAACCCTTCGACCCTTCGAAATTTTTCTGAGAACCGAAAAAATTGTGATAACTTCACAACTCCACCGAATCACTCGAAAATTATCAGGGACTAAGGGCTCCGTATGCTACACAAAATAGTATGAACGCTACCTCCATTACAAATTAGAACCAAAGATATAAAATAAAAATTCTTGAGAAGTTTTTCTAGCTTTAAAAGGAATGAATTCCAAAACCTATTGCTATTGATGTGGCTTGGAAAAGTAGTAATTCAGATTTCCAACGGTTCTGCATGCTTTAGTCGACGGCCGGAAAAACAAGCTTCCTAGAAAACCAAGTACTAAAATTTGCCATTTTTGATATCTATAAAATATCGTATTTATGAGTTTTAATGACCTGATTTACTTTAAGCCCCTTTTAGTTTTGGTTATTTAAGATAATTAACTCATTTAATAATATAAACAATATTTTTCCTTATTCTGCAAAAAAAAAAAAATAAATAAATAATCGAATGCTATATAATAACTTAAAATCCTGGCATAGCAAAGACAAAAATTAATAACATAAATTTTGTTTGGAATTATATTTTTTTTTTTCGGTTCATAGGGCGCATTGGCGAGAACCCTCGGACATGACTCTAATATTTTTCGACCTATTATCAACACAAAAAGTTTCATTTAAATCAGTGACCTCACGTCCGTAACCTCCCCTTGTAAGATATAAAAACAAATCAATTAATTCACAATTTCCTAGATTGTGTTAAAAATAATCTCTTTTTTATGTGATAACCAGCGAGGGGCTTTTGTTTTTGACATCTTAAATTTTCTGCTTTTTAAAAAAATATAGGTTTCGGTTGAGAAATTTTAATATCGATGTATCGAAATACAAATTATGGGCTAAAATACCGACATATCTGCACATATAATATTGATATTTCTATATACCTATATTTTTCCAATATTCCTACCTCTACTACCACTATTGATAGTTCTACATGAGGTAGTGAACACGACAGGCTGTCCGATGTATAGTACTCTCAACCAGTACATGATTATTATGAGTGTTGTGTCCAAAACCGTTGTGGGAGGAAAATCTAGGCGGAGTTCCGAGGGGTTGAAAGAATTTGGCTATTGAAAAAAATAATTATTGCTTAAAATCTCGTTGAGTCATTTTCTTTAATTTTTTTTACCGTGTAAAAAGTTTGTTTAATTGTAGATTCAAATATTTCCTATGACTTAGACATCAGCAGAGTTGGAACGAGAGTAATGGATGAGCTGGTACGTCCATTAGCCGAAGTTCAAATAGATGATACAGAATTTGCTTGCCTCAAGGCAATAGTCTTTTTCGACCCAAGTACGTATTAAAATGTGTTTTACTTCTTTTGTTATATGTTTTATTTGAAAACTTACCTGATTTATTTTTACATAGATTCCAAAGGACTAAGTGACAGCTCTAAAATAAAATGCCTCAGGTATCAAATACAAATAAATCTTGAAGATTACATAAGCGATAGACAATACGATTCTCGTGGCAGATTTGGAGAACTACTTCTTACATTGCCGGCTCTTCAATCAATCACATGGCAAATGATTGAGCAGATTCAATTTGCTAAACTGTTTGGGGTCGCAAAAATTGACAGCCTTTTACAAGAAATGTTATTGGGAGGTAAGATAAATGTTCATGCATATCTTTATTACAAACCTTTTATCTTTGATGAATGTTTTCAATTATCTTAAGGATCTACTACAGAGAACTCAAACGGCCAACCAGTACAAACGAATGGAAGTGTAGGCAGTTACCAAAGTTCCGGAGAGTCGCCAGACAGTCGCAATGGTACAAGCCCAATGAATAGTCCTTCTAACCCTTCTGGGACTGTAATATTGCAAGACCTAACAAACCCCTCAGAGGAATACACATTCAAACAAGAACCACAGCTTGACAACTACTAGTAATTCTTTTCACCGTGGAATAGAATAAATGTGATTCATGACTGATAGACAGTGAATTATGTAAATGTGTACAAGTACACTCTAACATATATACACATATAACTCTCATAATTTAAGTAACAGTAGTTTTCATACTGTGAAATGTTGTTTTCTGAAATAGTCAAATAAAAATTTTAAAAAGCACGCCAAGCAATAATTTTTTTTTAAATAAAAAAATTTCTAAAAAGTTTTAAAATAATAAAAATAAATAAACATGTTCACTTTTTATTTAGAAGGAGAAATTCACCAAAAATCCTTATTTAAATCTAATAATTTAAAGTTATTTATTGTTATCATTTCTTTGTTTTGTTTTTTGTATTTGATACAAAATAACTATTTAAAAAATTACTTACTCTAAAAGAAGTAAGTATGATGAAGTGTTCTAGTCTTTGATTTATAACTAACAATTGCACTCATAAACAAATATTTTTTTGCTATCAAGGTTTAATCCATATTTTTCCTTCTTTTTTTTTCTTATTATTATTTTTTTGTTGACTGCAGCCAAGTCATATAGATGGTTTGTTAGCAGTTGAGAATTCAATATCTTAATATTTTCTTTTCACATCAAACATCATTATCCATAGTAAAATGAAACTATGGATGAAAAAGGTGTCTTAAATTATTATATAATTCTCTATTTATAATTACATAAGTTGTACACCAATTCTTTTAACAATCACATTCAGACAAAAACAAAAATAAGAAGAAAACCTTTTGTTTGTCAAAATATCACTTCACAAATGTCTGTAATAGTGTAGATTATTTATAATTTTTATATGTAATAATAAAATTACGTGCTGTAATATAATAAAGATAACCTTAATATTTCCTGATGTAATTTTTCAATGTTTCATGATTTTACGTATGTTGAAGAAGTTAATTTAAATTTTGTAATGTCGACATATTTCAACAAACGGCCTCAACAGAATATTATTTTGATTTAAAGACTATTTTAAATGAGATTTATTTTGAAGGGTCAGCTATCAGTGTAATAGTTGTATATTATAAAAAATATAAAAATTGTAACTATAATTTTTATTATATTATATCCTATCCTTAAATTAATGTTCCACATTTAAACCAATACACCATCCTTTGTCTTACATTTGCCTTTTTAAAGCAGACCTTTTCCCTTCAAAATATGCTTTGAAAATGTTTGCTCTTCTTTCAATAAGGTTTGATTTATAAAAAAGATAAAGTTGACAGATCATTAGAGTGTTTGATTATTAAATATAAAAAAATATGACATAAAACAATGTCAAATCAAAGACAGTAGCTTTACATATTCTAAAATGAATGAAATGAAAATCCAGAAAAAACAATTAACAAAGTTTAACTGAAAACAAGAAATATTTCTCGGATCATCTCCTTATCTCATTGGTAAGTTATTACACAAACAGATACATGATTATATTGAAAATAATAAGACAATAAATTTAATTCTAAATTACATAAAATAATTAAATCTAATTTGTTTGATTACAGGTAGGAGGCATCTTTAATCATGTTTGTATATAATTGTAAACAAATAAAAAATGGTATTCTTCCATAAAAATAATTATTTTGTTCAAAGGTAAAATATCTAAATATATAAAGTCCTGATAGGAGGACATGCACATATCATGCAGTGGCAGATCCAGAGGTTTATTTTAATTGAATTGGGTGGATTTGAGAGGTTGGGTGCACTTGCAAAATAGGTTGATTTCAATTAAAAATAGTTTCCAAGAGATCAGAGCACTCTAGCAACTACTTTCAACTACAATATTTAACTATTTCTCCAATAAATGAAGAATTTTTATTGTAAATATTTAATTTTTATAAATTATTCGTTGTTTTTGAGTACAAAGCATAGATACAAGTATTTATTTAAAACATTTCACTTTTCAATTTAAATGATAATAATAAAAATTCCGGCTGTTTGATTAATTTTTACAAGATCAAATTTTTTCTCACCTTCCGGGGAGGGGGCTAGTGATGTTATGCTTATTATGGAGCCCCATCCTACACCTTAATGTGGAAGAGAGGACTTATCAGCTTGGTGACAGATATCATATAGTCTATAATTAAAATAGCTTTCCAAAACAGTCTCGATATAGCAACCTACTAGTTCAGACATGTTATCCAATGCATCGTTCTTTTTTTTCATTTCTAGTGAATGCTTTAAAAATTATTTTAATTAATGATTCGCCAACGATCTGAGTGAAATATTAATATCTTTGGAATTTATGGTAACTAAAAGAATACCTATTGTGAAGCAAATATGAATGTAGATATTTCAAGCTCCTTTAAAACTAAGTATAATAACATGACCTCGAAAGAAAAAAAAGAGGTGATTTAAACTTAATATAATAATATTCCAACAACAAATAGTTTTCCTATCTCTGACGTGAAAGATAAGGATTTCAAAAGTGAAATATCTCAATAACTTAAAGTTCCATTAGTTGTAGTTAAGTATAATCACACATAAAAACTGAACTATAAAAGGTTGACATAAAATATGGGTATAATAAAACCATATTCTATGTTTGTAATAATTATAAACCTTAAAAAAAAAAGATTATATTGTGTGAATTATATTGAAGAAGCATGACACCCCAATTCCTTAGTCTTGGATGAGATCACAGGCGTATCTACGGGAGGGGGGGAGGCTTTCGGGCTGAAGCCCCCCCCCCCAAAAATGGTAAAATATTACCATGTTTTACAGAAAAAAATATAAAAAACTATCTCATAAAGTATTCTTGTTCGTGTAATTATATTTAATAGGACTTCAAGAACCACTTAAACACCATTTCATATAGGTAATTAATTTTTTTCTCTTTTTTTTCAAATTAATTATCGTTATATGTATATGAAAAAAAAATCTTTCGGGCTGGAGCCCCCCCAAAATTAAATTCTGGATCCGCTAGTGGATGAGATGAACTTCTACAGTTAACAGGGTGGGGTTTCAGTACAACAGTTAGTCAAAAATATAATGACAAAGCCATTCTGGAGAAGCACTTCAAATGAAGTGTTTTAAAATACAAAATAAAATATACTTTTTTTATTTTATATATTCAATTTGATTGAGGAAACTGATATTGAAAGATTCGGTTGGGAAACAAATAATAACTACATTTATCAAAAAGTGAAAACTAAAGGAACAATACCTCACACATTGGTTGAGCCATTAAAAATTTTCAAACTTTAAAAAATCGATCTCAAACATTATTTGATTTACCGAGCATGTTAATGTATTAAATTGTAGCATATTTAATCTAGTTTAAAACTGTGTAGATTGTTTTATGTCAAAAACGTGCTCCTTCATGGCTATAATCGAAAAAAAAGGTAAAAAATTAGCAGTTTTTGGAATTTTCAAAAAGAGAGGGAGAGGAGGGCGAGGTTGAAAACTTGGATTTTGCATCTCAGTCACATCCCATACAAGAAAATAAAAAGAAACTTTCTACCCCCATTCAATGCAACTTACGATGTACAAGGTTATTGGGCTAATGGTTTTTCAAGGACTGCAGAGCTCAGCAACGAATGAATAAATTAGAAAACAAACACCTTCTAAGTTATTCCTAGAAGGACCCTGCCCAAAAGAAGTGGAATAATTCTACTTGTAGAATGAGCACTTTAAGATGTGTGACTATCAATTGAATAAACTCTTGAATCTAGGGTTAAAGGCTCATACACACAGAACTCGATATTTAGCGCGGCGATATAGCGTCACAGTTGTATTACTATCTATTCTACTATAACAGTCACATAGAGAGCGTTACGCCACAGCGATACATTCTATAGCGCCGGGGCCAGCGATAAATTGATACAAATTACAAAAATATCATCCTCCTTCGACGTTATTCTCTACCTAATGTAGGGAGAAAGGTGAGCTAATGCACAAGTTAATAGGATTATTCCAGGATTATAACGGAATGTTCACACAGAAGGCGTTATTTATCGCGGCGCTACAGCGCTACAGTTGTATTACTATCTTTTCCACTATAGCAGTCACATAGAGGGCGTTACACCTCAGCGATACATTCTATAGCGCCGGCGCCGGCGTTAAGTTTGAAAAATATTGCAGATATATCGACGGGGCCGGCTATATGTTTGACAAATATTATAGATACAAACAAAAACATTATTAAAAAGGAGGTTATATGGAAAAAAAATTGCGGAAGAGCTAAATATTACAAGTAATGTATTACTTGATATTACTATTATAATTATTGAACATTATAATAATTATATGTTATATTCTTTTTTATCTTGAAATCATTTAAAAATTATACTTACGTTTTTTTGCCAATTTTAATTTTGCCTATACTAAAGACATAAATGATCAAAAAAAAATCTGTGTATATTGCATATTTAAAAAGGTTGAGGAACAGATAATAACTATCCAAGATATATATATGGCAATAAAAGAAATTCGTTACTACGAAATTAATATTAAATATATATGTCATTTGTAGTAAATAATAATGTGAAATAAATCTGAGTAAGTTTTACATAAGGAAAAATAAAACGAAAGTTCATTATTAAAATCTCTTCTGGAATATATGAAAAAATTAAATTTTATATATATATATATATATATATATATATATATATATATATATATATATATATATATATATATATAGTAATGAAGTTTCAATTGAAGATTGAATATTTCAAAGCAAGAAATACAGGAAAAACCAAATCACATATTTTTTTATAATTTTATGTTCATTAGCACAATTTTTAAGAATTGGAAAGTAATACAATTTTCTTAAAGAGAAACAAGTGTCATCGCTAGAAACTGGCTGTAAATATCCGAAAAACGTGTAGCAAAAACTCAAAAACGTGCTGAAAACCCAATAAATATAAAGCAAACAATTTCTTAATAAAAACAAATTACATTGAAACATAGTTTATTCATCTATAAAGTTATGGCCTTATTTATAATTTCTTTTTTTTATTATATTTTTAAAAAAATAGATGGTTTTTCGGTTGTAGATTGTCAAGTTCCCATTTATTTAGTGTTGAATGGAGTAATTCGTAATTTTTGACTGGTGGTTCACGTCAATAGTCATCTCAACAAAAATAATCAAACAAAGTGTCCTCTCATATTTATGAGAGAAAAATTAAATTTTGAAATGTCACCAAAATAGTTGTTAATTTATTGGCTGAACCCCAAAACTATAAGAAAATATATTGGTATTTTTACTTTCGCTTACCTATGTATGCAATATATAACAAAGGGAAAGTATTGCTTTCGTGAAAATTTTCGAATCTCAGTTTT